CTGTACCACCCAAATTCTTTCCCATTGGGTTGAATCGTATAATGTATTAATCATTTTGTTTCCCCACAAGATTTCATGAGTCACGACTGTGTGTCGTGTCATAATTGATTATTGGTGTGTTAAACTATGATATTCAATTACAACCTTTTCTGCACTTCTCCCCACACAGGTTTAATTTACATCTATTCTGCTTCTTTTCTTTTCAGATAAATCTCAAACGTGCACGTATACTAGTTAACTCCCATCTTTTGCATTCTACAGTTCCAGGTAATCATATTCACATCCTCTTAATTTGCATTTTATATGCTGTGACATTGATCATTTTCCCCCCTATTTTTCAGGAATCACTGATTGCAATAGGAAAGAGAATGTTTTGCTGTGGGAAAGGTTCGCAAATCCCCGTATTATTTTTGGTGTTTCAGTGGAAAAGATGTTTCGTGGAGAGGAAAATTGTTCAATGGTAAAGCCCACTTTTTTTCTTGTACAGATACTTTACCCAACACGCCAATTTAAGTCCAAGTTCAAAATCGCCATAGAATATGAAGTGAAGCAACTTATTTTTGATGGATATGCAAATGACATTCTTGAGTTTTCATCTGTACCAGATCAGGGGGGTGATCAATCTGTATCGAAAGGAGAAGTATTTTCTGGTCGTGAACAAACAGCAACCAGATGACTTTGAGGTCTTCATATCTTTCAAGGTGTGCCGAAACCAAGAAAAAAGTAATTGATTCGAGAAAAGTCGCGTTATAAACATCTTTTTGTTTTTATTATTTTATGTTGCAGGAGGGCGCTAGCAGTTTGTCTGTGCTGCGAAGTGTGTGGCAGACTTACTGGCTCTATCAAAACTGGGGCTGGTCAGATGTCTTTGACGGTCAACTTGAGAAAAGCTTAGGCGAACTAGATAATAGGTTCCCGGATTTCTTGCAACGGTTAGAAGATGTTGGATGGGATTTGAATAATTTGTGCCTGAAGACCCCCAAGGAAATTTCAATCCAGGAAGTTGTGACAATCTGAGATTATTCGCCATAAAGGATTGTTATGGGCATATATTATGCCTTTATGGAATTAGATTTGTATTGGATTCTCATGTTTAATTTAGTGTGGTTTCCGTGGCAATCCCCTCTAAGGGCTGGGGGTGGATGCATGGTATCGGGTACGGTCTTGGTTATGGACCGATAATTGGACAGGACTGCTGGCAGTGTATAGTCTCGCTCTTATTTCTGGTTAAAGCTCTAAAAATGCAGGGCTAGAACTGAGCCGGTTTGAAGTGAACCTAGGGCGAGGGGTCGGGTCATTGTTACTGATAATTGCATTAGAAAAAAATTCTCTTTCTGTCCCACCCGACCCGTTTTAAAGAATCAATCTCTTGTATAAGATTGTTCTTTCATTTAAGCGAGATGATTGTATAGGTTACGTAAGTCCCTGAGGGACGAAAAAGTTAATATTTACTTCTTCTAAAGTTCTTGGGATGGATTCTTAGGGCTTAGAATTAGTCCGAAGCAAGTCAAAAACCTAATGTATTGTAAGATGCAATGTGATCTGTACTTACACCTGGGCAAATGTGAAAGAAATTAGAATGAAGTGATAAATTTGACTCTAAATTGTTTTGAATTTGGTTCTAAATTTGAAATAGTACCATGTTTCCAAAGAATTTTGACTTACAACACTTGTTCACGCATGAACGGACTAAAGTTAGTCTACTCCCTTGTGCTACCACAAGATGTCGATGCTTATTTCCCTACTTTTGGTTCTTGTACCAAAAAGAAATTAGGAAAAAACATTTAGACGATATAAGTAAAAAGGAGCTAACACACAACAACAATAATAATATAGTTGGACCCTACATATTGCCTAGTCAAATAGACATGTATTGGAGTTTATAGACAAGACATGTGTGTCGGATAGATATGCGCTGGATAATTTGTTTGTTTAATGGAATAATAGGATTGGTATGTAGTACATAGACTAGCATGAACTTAAAAAACCTTGCAAGACTCTAACACTTAAAACTCTTTCAGGAGATCTTAAGTTTGAGTTACTGTAGAAAGAAAATGAATGACTTTTCCATCAATAAGCCTCTACCCCACCTGAATTAGCTCTTTCATCAGATCAATCAAATATTGACAGATCAATGTATAATAGCTCCTTATGTACAAAATGTACATGCTAGGTAAATCTCTGAGGGATGAAAAAGTCTAAATTTATCTATTCTAAGGTTCTTGGGGTCAAGTCGTAGAAATTTAGAATTAGTCTCATGCATAGTCCGACACAAGTTGGAAAACTATTGCATTAAAAAACAAAAAGTGACCTCTAGTTACACCTGGGATGCATACTGTAATATTATTATAGGAGCAATTCCCTCAGTGGGAAATTTTTAAGAAGCAAATTCCCCACTCCAACTTTCGCATGTATAACATGCAATTACTTTTTTTTTTTGTTTCAGAATTTTCGAATGTACTACATGCAAAAACATCAACATCAAACTTTCATCACTCAAATTTTTTCCCAGTTTTTTTTAAAGGAAAATGATAGAGGTACACCAAAAGTGTACCCCAAACATCCCCACCCCCTCTATCATCACACAAAAAAGGCAAGAAAAATTCAAAAAAAAAAAGTAAAAAATAAAAATAAAATAAAATGAATGGTAAAGAGGGGGGTGGTGTACATTTGAGGTACATCTTTGGTGTACCCCTAGCACATCCTTTTAAATGATTTCGCATGTAGTACATGCAAAATTAATGAAAAGATTTTTTTTCATATTTCGAAATTTAAAAAAATTATCAAATTAAGAATTTTTTCGGTTTCTCTCATATTATGAAATAAAAAAAAAGAAAGTAAATTCCATAAAAGGTCCCCAGTTATAGGCCGTTTTACATATTTAGTCCCTATATATCAAATATTACTAATTTAGTTCCCAATTATTATACTACCTCCGTCCCGCTATATTCGTCCACTTTTGACTTTTGGAACTGTTCATCTAAGCACTTTGACTCATCAAATTTTCTCAATGTGTAAGCCTAGATATAGTCATGTGTGATCTTGTTTGATTTGTCTTAACATATAGATTATTACTATATAATTTCTATAATTTTTTAATATACAAATTACAAGATAAAATGGATTAAAAAAGTGTATTGGATAGTGTGTAAAAATGAAAGTGGACAAATACTCTGGGACGGAGGAAGTATCATTTTTCACGAATGGTCCTTTGTTAACGTTTTTCTTAAAAACATGGATAAAATAATAAGCTCTATGGAATATTATAATCTAATGTTTATTTTTCTCATTTTAAAACAAGAATTTTTCCAAATACTTGTATGGAGTATTTTTTTAACCCAATGTTATTTTAAAAATAAAGAATAACTACTCGATTCAATCCCACGAAATTTGGGTTAGGGAGAGTGGGTGCGTAGACCTTATCCTTACTAAAAGGTAGAGATGTTAAATATATCTCTACTTTTCATCTACACTACTTTACTACATCACATTAAATACAAACAATGAAGGCTTTTGGTTAAACTAATTATAAATTAAGATTTTGGTTAATAAAATAAAATAACCTTAAACTAATGTTTGTGTAACCCTCAAGTGAGGTTAATTTGCGTGTTTGTTACCTTCAACTGTCTAGATTCTGCAAATAACCTTAGACTCGATCTAGTACTATTTACTCGGTTAGGTAATTTACAATATCAATTTTGATAAATAAAATTGTTTGAAAGATTTTAAATTCTCCATTATTATTTTTCTACATTTACACCATGATATACATACATACAAACATATACATACATTTACACCATTTTATATATATATGATACTTCCTCCGTTATAAAAAATATTTCCTTTTTAAATTTTTTTATGGCTTAAATAGTACTAAAACATAATGACTTTCCTTAAATAACACTACATGTGTTTTTCTTCCCAATGTAGCACTTTTAGTCATTATGCATTAGTCATTATTCAAGTAAATTTTCGTCATCACTAGACATTGTAGACATTATTAAGTGCTATTTAGAGAATAAAACAATTTAAGTGCTATTTACGAAAATGACTTAAGTTTTAGTGTCATTTAGTGCAAATATTTCTTTTTCTATTTCCAACAAAACACTTTCTTTTTATTAAAAAAACCACCTTTATCCTTATTTTTTATATCCTATCTGTCACATCATATTTTTTTTTCTCTAATAATTTATCCATCACATCAAATACAAAATTGAAAGTCAATTATAATTTGACACTTTTTTATTTTTATACTAAGTCAAACTAGGAACCTCTTTTCAACGAAGGAAGTAAGTATTTTGTATGGACCATGCTACACTTACACCAAAAAATATACCCCATTTGTACACCACAGTTTTGCACAAACATTTTGATGGTTTATACCGACATAAGTGTTGGTGCGTTAATAAAAATTTACACGGACACAAATGTTGGTGCATTAAAAAAAATTAGTTTTACACCAACACAAAATGTTGGTGCAAAACTGCGGGGTACAAATTGTGATATAAATCTTGGGATATACATAGCATAATCCATTTTGTATTGAATAGGAATGAGAAGGGGTGGATAATTGGACATGCCATTGGACATTTTAAAAAAAAATTAAAAAAAACACTTTTGCATGTAGTACATGCGATCTTCCAAGTGGGGAATTTAGGGTTCCACTTGAGGAATTAATGTATGTGCTTTTTCCAAGTGAGGGAAACCACCCATTATTATTATATTACCCCTGCAAGGCTGCAAATATTAATTAATTTGAGAAATGTTCATAAACTAACATACACTGATCTCACTACTCTATGATTTGATAGGGAACAATTAAAAACCAGCACCCTCTAAGAGTTTGTAAAAGTGGGGCAAAAGACAAAATACTAAAAGAGGTACAAAAGCGGAAGATTAACCAACACCTTGCGCTAACGGATACAAATTCTATTGAAATACGGAGTAAGACTCTTGTTTAATACCACTACCTACACGAGATATATTGTAGCGGTGTTAAACAAGACCCTATTTCATTAAATATTACTCCCTCTGTCTCAAATTATAATGCCTGTTCACTATTCACATGGTCAAACTTCATTCACTTTCTTTCTCAATTTTCATTAGCAAATTGATAAAATAAAGTATTGTTGTCACTACTAGTTTTGTAGATCTTTTGATGTAGTATTTTAATATGTAATTTTTATTTTTTAACTATATACCATTTGTCATATAAAATGATTTGAAAATAATTTCAGTCAAACATCGTAAACGGAAACAGGCGTTATAAAATGGGACGGAGGGAGTAACAAGAGTGAGTTCGACTAGCACTCAGTGGGGCGGAAGGGCCACAGGCTTGGGGGGCTTGCACTGGTAGCACTTGGCAAAGAGCCCGAACGTGTCCACCTGTTTCACGAAATTGGTCATGCTGGCCCATCCTCCGAACCCAAACCCAACTACAACAACCCAGCCCACTATGAAGATGTTCACAATGTACATGGCGGTCCAGCTCGGCAAGAAGAACGGAGGCTTTTCCGCAGCATTCTGCATTACATTTATGAATTAGATTCATTCATTCTGAAATTAACTTCTTTAAAAAAACTAAATTTCATTAATGGTCTTTTATAAAAGGTGATTTTCCATATCTAGTCTCAAATTCAAAGATATTACATTCGTGGTCAATAAATTTTTAAAAATTATATTTAGTCCTTTACGCTAAATATGACCAAATATTTTTTCCACACAGTCCCCAAATGACTGATTATGGAATAGTTTTAAAAAATTGAGGACCACAAATGGAATATCTAATAATTGTGGACTAAATATGAAAAATCAAGTTTTATAATGAACCATTTATGGAATGTACTCTTAAAAACCATGACAGAGTTGGAAAGGTAGAGAGAGGCTTGAAGTGAGCATAATTATTACCTTGCGAGCGGATGGTTTGCGAAAGGTGAGCATATGAGCAAGAGATGGGACAATGTAGACCGTGAAGCTAACAAGAAGTGCCCCAACGGCCGAGTTTATAGGGCCAAAGAAAGGGAAGATTATGGCCAAGAACCATATGGGTATCACCACCGGGAGCCTTGCAAGTGCCCTCACACAAATCCTCTTTGTGTCATGCATCCCAATCACCTTTTCCCATACAAAGTACAACGGCATTGAAGCGAACCCAAATGTGATGAACTGCACGCACGGTTAACAAGAAACAAAAATAACCTCATTTTAGACTAGCAGTTAGTTAGTATTGTTGACGAGCATTTAAATTTAAAATAGACATCTAATAAGCAAGCCAAGAAACCTGGTGAATGAGCATCAAGATGACAGCAGCATCGCGCCACCTGGATTTAGGGAGGAGGGAGAAGGCATTGGAGTGGTCGAGAAGCTCATCCCCAAAGGCCCAATACACCGTGGTGGCTGATGGAATGGTGAGAGTGAAGACATAGAGTGTGGCATACAAGTAAATGTATTTGAACTTCTGCGGTTTCCACATCGCATGCATGATTTCCCTGGTTTTTTTTTAAACAAAACAAAAAAAAATCAACAGCTTCATTGCAAAAGTAAAGATATCAATGAAAAACATGTGTTCAATACTCAAGAATAATTGATTCCCCATGATTATATCAAAGTGATGATTCAAAGAACACAACCAACATAGACCAAAAGCTACTCTGTACAAAAAGGAAGTGGAGGCAAATAAATCATGTTTCCTCTGCCAAACATAAACTAGTCATTCCTATGATTGTGTCACCAAGGTGGGATCAAAGCCTGCTCTGCAAGAGGAGTCGTGTGGGCCCACAGAAAAAGAAAGAAAACTAACCATCGTTTGGATAGTGTGAAATTGGGGAGAAGAAAAAATTGGGTGAGAAAACAAAATTCCAAGAAGTTTTCTCATGTTTGTTTGAAAGAGAATAAACGGGGGAAAAGAAAACGAGTTAGGTGCCAACCCAAAAATTTTCTTGGCTGAAGAGGTGAGAAAACAAACTACTTAGAGAGAAAAGTCATGAAATGACTGATTTGCCCTCAATTCCTTTTCATTTTGACTGCCTAATTCTCCCCTCTAATTGCCCCATCTCTCCTTACTCTTCCATCTCCTTTTCTCCCTTGTTTTCTTATCATTTTCTAATCACCCAAAGAACTATTTTTTTTCCTTCTATTTTCTCTTCATCTTCTCTTCCCACCATTTTCTTTCTCATCATTTTCTTACCTTCCATATTCTTTCTCATCCAAACAAAGGGTAAAACATGCCAACAAGCCACTTATGCTCGTTATGATGGCTAGAATAGAATTGATTAAGGAAAAAGTGCTTACACAGTTACAGCGTGCCCCCCAAATGTGTATAGTATGTTCGTGGCGCCCGTGAAATACAGCACTGCTTTCACTGGTGCGGAGTGTTCCACGCCTTCAACCTAATAATAATAACGTCCAGAGTATTAGAAATTAACTACAGAGTAAAACATACATAATATTCCCAAATTTCTCTACATATCATATAAGTTTGTTAACAAGCAGGGCAATGAACACACACACACACACACATATAGTCTGTTAATAATGAATGTGGCGTGTTCATTACCTGACCGTGAGCAAGAGCTGCAGCAGTGAGATACCAAGCAGTGTAAGTGGTCATTCCAAGGCCAAGGAAAGACCAAATCCTGTAGTTGTGGAAGGAAGGGATAAAGACAGTCGTCGCACAGCAAGCTCCAAATATGTATGTCCATGTCCTCTTGTCCAATCCATCATTTATGTAATATATGTTGCTGTTTCCATTCAATTCATTCACAATACATATATCCACAAACCAGTCAGTAAGTATTTATTCAAGCAAAGTCAACCCATTTAATTTCTTCTCCCTCTTCAAAAAGGAAAAAAAAAAAACAAATACGTGATTCATTGCATTTCTCTCTTCAAAACAGATTTAAACCACAGATTTTCAGTTTTTTGAACAATTTTTTAAATCCGGGAAATCGAAGGTTCAACTTTAATGCGAGACGGATGGAGTATATGGAGTATAAATTATACCTTGCACAGGCTATGAGCTGTATCACTGATCCAAAGAGAAGGAAAGTGCAGTTGAAGACCAGCCCAACTGCTTTCCAGTATGGACCCAAAAGCCCATCTAGCACCTCAAACCACTGCAGCAAAACATTCACATAAGCATAATTTTTTAAGGAATGAAAAAACATTATGGCTGAGATTTATGCGGGTGAACAAGAACCAACAATAATTTCTTCAAAATGCCCCCAAAAAAAAAGAGCGAAGAGAAAATAATAGAGAAAAAATGCGATCGGAGTAACGAGCACAAGAGACCTGAATGACATGGTTCTTGAAGCAAACACCTTCTTTCTCTTTTCTACTTCTGTACTCAACATACAGGACACTGATGAGATAAGCTGTCCAGCTACCAATCACACCATAGAAGACTTGGAACATTATTCCTGATAGCATTCCCAGTTGTGAAAAAGAGTATGGCAGTGTCAACAGCACTTGGGCTACCTGATTTTTCAAAATTCATAAACCTTAAAATAGTATACGAAAAATGCATCAAATTGTAATAGGAACTTTGGGTTCTTTTGGAAATTTGTGATTGGATGCATATTACCTATGAAAACATTAAAGATCCATTTTGAAATGCAGTTATGATCTAATTGTTGAATTGAAAACTGTCAAATGTAAAATCAAAGAAACCCTTAACAAGGGAGTTACCTGGTTGGAAGCACAACTAAACCATGCATCCCAAGCAGAGCCGCCATGCCAGAGAAAGCTCTTCACACTGGGAATGGACGATTCTTCTGCTTCTTTGTCTCCAACAACGTCATCTTCTGCCTGGTTCAAGCTTGAGGCCATGGCTTCCTCTGCTTGCATCTGCGGCAACATTTTCTTTTCAACCGATTCTGTACGATATTGTCTGAAATCAGACACACATTCGGACCCAAAATGAGACCCGGAAAAAAGAACTCGATTTGGAGAGAGGATGGAATGGGCAGGAATGAATGGGCTAAAGGGCAAAAAAAGATGGAAATTAATGGGGTTGTGCCAGAAAGAAGATGATGGATGGATAAGTTGCCGTCTGTGAGAGAAACCCAAAGGGAGGGAGAGCTCCACTTTAAATGCAGAGAGATTTGATTTGACATATAATACTGCTGAGCGGCCGGAAGCGGGAAAAGGCGGCGAGAGATAAAGACATGCCTCATTAAAAGCTGCAGTTGCTCAGTGGAGTGACAAAAGAGAGAGTCACAAAAGCACATCCCACATTCCCACCCCAAATAAGTGAAATTTGCATTAAATAGTACGACGTCTGTCTCAAAATGTAAGCAACATTAAATGAAGTAATTTTTTAAACTTTTTAAATCTATTTTATTTAAAGAATGATCTACAAATAAAAAATGAAATTTACATATTTAAAAAGTACGTAAAAAAATTTACAAAGCAAATAGTGACAAGAATATCTTATTTTATCAAATAACTAATAAAAATGTAAAAGTAAATAAAAATTCTTGTGATTTCTAAATAGTGAAGTGTTGCTTACATTTTAAGACTAGGGGTGGGCAAAAAAACCGAACTAACATGGTACCATACCGGACCGTAATGATACCGAACCGTTTTTAGTGTTTTCAAACGAGATTGATTTTTTTCATCACGAACCGAAACCGAACCGATACCAAATGGGACGGGACCGTGATGCATATATTTAAAACCAATTATCACGGACCGAACCGTCCAATGCTATATACGGAGTGCGTATCTCAAATAATTATGGAGTATTTGTCTACTTCATTTTACTGCATATAGAATACTTCGTATTTTATTATTCATTTTTAAACTCTCTCATTATTATTCTTGTTATTATATTTATCATTACTATTAGCATTATTTTTTTATAGTTATTAGTATTCCAATATTATATGAATTGGGGGAAAAAATTATTTTTTAACTTTGGACTCGTTATCTTTCATTTTTTATGTTTATGATCCGTTTAAATTTGAAATCAATACTTTTATTTAACAAACTTGTGCTTTTTTATACAAACGTATACATTAAATTCAATATTTTTTAAGTAATGTACATTTATTTTTTTGGCACGGTTTGAGCATGGGTATGGTATTGTACCGTTCCGTTTCAAAACGGAATGGTACCGAATGGTTTTGTAGTTCATCCCGTACCGATACCAAACCGTTTAAATAAGAGCGGTCCGTGATAGGTTCCGGTAGTATCACGGACCATCACGGACCGCGCCCACCCCTATTTAAGACGGAGGGAATACTAAAAGATATGCCCTTTTTAATGAAGTACTTACACTTTTTATTTCTTAAAAAATACTTGAATGTTAAATACTACTTGAACAATGTCTAGTGACGGGAAAAATGTCCAATAATGGCGGACATTTAATTTGAACAATTTCCAGTGACGCCGGACATTTATTTGAACAATGAGCAGTGAACATTGAAAAGTGGTACTACATTGGAAAATAAAAAATATAATACTACATTGAAAAAATCACTATTTTTTAGTACCCAGAGTACTATTTAGGTAAATTCCTCCTAAAATATTCGTCACATTTTTATTTTGCCGAGTTAAAAAAACGTGGAGTATTAAAAAATAACAAATAAATGGTTAATACTTTTTTTATAAGAAATAGAAAGACTTTGGATCACATATTCTTTATTTTATTAGGTATGTAAAAAAATATAATAATTATTTTTAGATAGACTAAAAAAGAAAATATAAAGATTAATTGGGTACGAATGGAGTATTTTGTAAGAGATGTTTGGAAGTGTGTTATTTGTACCGGAGAAATAATTTAGTTGTTACTAGTTGTTTTATTCTGTTGGACATGTCAATTTTGTTAATAAGCTATTTTATTCTATTTTTGCTAGTATGTTGGTTTATGTTATTTGACACAAAGCTGTTGTTGTTCCTCTTACGCCGAGCGTAGATTTTGAAGGTTGGTGATAACACAATTTCGTTGATGATTTTTTCTTCATAATGGAAAGTATTTTTATAAAAAATTACTTACTCCATTCGAAAATGATCTTTTCAACTCATTTACGAGATTTGACTTAAGTTATTCTTATTTCCATTTATTTGACTTAAAATCCAGTCTCATATTTTACACATACCATAAAATAAACAAAAGGATTGTTACTAGTACAGAGAAACTGAAAGTTCGTGGGGGCAGCGAAAATCACCAAAAAAAATTAATCTATTCAAACAAATCAAACAAACACACATCTAGAAATGATGCTCTAGCACTGCCTTAGAACCAGATAACAGACAAAGTGTTATAACACCTTCTCTGTCACCAACACACACGCAGAATATAAAGTAAAAACAATAAACAATGCATAAGAATTGTTTACGCAGTTTGAAGCAACTCTCCTACGTCTGCGGGCCCCATGTTTGTGTAGCAGCCCTTCCACTGAGTCATTGTAAAGATTGCACCTTCAATTTCAATAGATTCAATATATGAACTGACTTGATCTTCTTACACGTGATTTGATGATAAACTCTTATTCTGTCTATCTCCACGGCTTGTTACACCTTTCTCAAGATCTTATTCAAGGGCGTGCTTGCAACCCTAGTTCCAAAATTAACTTCACAAAATTTGGACAATCACTAGTAATAGATTGATGGACGACACTAGCTACAACGATAACGACGGCTTGAGACAGCAGCTTTTTATTTTCTTGGTCAGTCGCAATTAACACTCCATGCATTATTGTGTGCATCTCCAGTAAGCCCTAGTATTTGTTTTTCCTTGCAGCACCACAAAATTTGCAAACAAATATCCTTATTGATAATAGTCCTTATTGATAATACTCGGTGTGAACTCGCCATATGCACTGGATGTGTTGGATGCACTGATCAGAACCGCTGGATGCACCATGATATGCAATATATTTCATGCTGGAGATCAAACACCTCTTAGAGCATCCTCTTGACCAGAAAGAGATGGGTGTGCAGCGAGATGGGTGTGCAGCGAGATCTGAGTATACCAAAATGATTTTCATCAAATGCTCTTTTACACATGTCTAGTGCTCGTTTCTTCATAGTCATAAGCTTCACCTTTTCACTGCTAGGAGGTATCACTTCATCACTTTTTTGTGATGATTCAGCTCTCTATTCAGCACAATAATTTTCTTTTCTTTCCACCTTGATGCAAGCATGTACTGTCGATAAGGCATTGATCAGAAGCAACAACCTTCACACAAAAATTAGCACATATTTTATTTTGATTCTTAGGTACCCAAATCATCTTTGTTGTCACATTCCTTTTTCTCAATCTTTGCTCTTTGACTTGCTTGCATTGCCTCTGAATGTGTCCCCTTTTTCCACAGCAAAAAAAACATAATTAGCCTAAAGGTTAGTGCTAGAATACCTTCTAGGGTTGGGATGATAATTCTGGTATCTTCTCATTCTAAATTGTGTCACAACTCTATGCCTCTCTTCATAGGGTGCTGCATAAGATGTTCTAGCATATGCTGCATGAGATGCTTCAATAGGTGTTGCATACAATGTTACAGCAAATTTGGCGGCTTCCATTTTCTTCCGTTGTGGGATCTCTTGAGAAACTTTCTTTTTCCAATCAATAAAGAAGTCAAGTGGCATATTGTTGCTTTCAAAATCTAAAAATCTGATACCAATCTTGTTTCCATAGAATTTCAAAATATTCACTTGCCCCTCAATAGCTTCTTTTCCAACACTCATCATCCACTTGTGATAATTTTTTAGTTGATTTAGTTCATACTTGATATCATATCGTCGCCCTTCTAATTCTTCAATCTTCCTCTGTGATTTTGAAAGCTCCCCAGCGAGTTTAATCCATTCAGCTGCTAAGCGTTAGCTCTCCATGAAGAAGTTTTGTCCACATCTCTTGGAGAATAGCTAAATCTTCTGTTGTGTCATCCTCTACTATCACTTTATCCTCGTATCTTTGTAACTCATTAGTAGTTGTTCCACAATTCTTTTTAACTCGGCAAGTTCATGTTTGAGGCTATTATTTTCCAAGATGTTTTTCTTGTTGACCTGTAGAGACTCTTGAGCTTTCTGTTCAGCAATCTCAAGCCTTTCCTTTGCATCAATTTCTTCATCGGAGTAATGTTCATCAATATAGAAAGATGCAAAAACACAATGTGTTCTAGCATTCTCTTTGTCACCCTCTTCCATAACATGTTTCTTCTTCAATTGAGTTTTCATCTTCTTTCAATCCATTTTTTCTTAACATATCAGCTTGGAAATGATTTTACAAGTAATATTACAACATGCTATTGGTCTAAAATCAGACGGCTGAATAGGGTTGTCAATCTTGGGAATAAGTGTGATGCTTGTTGCGTTAATCTGCTTCAAGGTCTTGCCAGTTTGAAAAAAATCTAGAACCATTAAGATACATTTGGTCATTTTAGATGCACCATTCTCTAGGCAGGGCCGGCCTGGGGGTGGGCTGAGCAGCCCTACCGCACCGAGCACATTCATTTTGGGGCCCCATTGTTTTTTAAAAGTCTCTAGTCCCATTTTGGCCCTACCGCACCAAGCACATTCATTTTGGGGGCCCATTGTTTTTTAAAAGTCTCTAGTCCTAATTTGGTATGCTGAGAGTGGGTTCGAACCTGCTCTCCTCCACTGGACAAAGTTAACAAATAGCTCATCCAGATGAACTACTTGAGTATAGTAGTAGTTACTAAATCATGTATATACAAATATATTTCTGCAACGATTCCCACTACACAGTTTGAATTCAAAACTTTCATTGATTCAATTCATTCCGTATACGCGTAATGGAAACAAATTATTAAACTAATGATTGCAAATATGCTACTAATTAATGATTATTTTGGTTTGAATTTTGAAATTTTCACTAATTGAATTATTCGGTAAGAAAACCCCCTAAATAGGAGTAAAATATGGATCATATCCTCGAAACAGAAGCTCAAACTTAAACTCCCCTAAATAGGAGTGATTAATTAAATATGTGTTCTGATTAACCCTGCTGGCCACACAAACCAAGTTAGGAAGAAACCATACTTCAATTGAT